TTTTTAGCACCAACTGATAATTTCTAAATTCATCTATTTATGTGACCTCAAAGTGTACCAAGTTTCATTAAAATCAGAATTTGACACTTCGCGAGGTTCCCTTGTTAGTACAAAATTTTTAGATTTGATGCATCTCCATTTGCATTCGTGCAGCTTTGTAAAGAATCAGTAAGTCATTTAATGAATTATCGATTTCGAAAGTAGAGACTTCAAGCTGTAAAATGCTTTTTGGATTAATCTGTTACGATTATTTTTGACGAAGTTACACTCTTTTGAAATTTGCTTATTTTTAGCGATCAGAATAGGTAATCCTTCAATTTTGGGGAGGAGTGTAGAATACGTCGTAATCGTAATATAATTTACAACTAACAAACAAAGGAGAAGGTAAAATGAATCGATTTTGGATCCCACCCTAGAGTGGCAAATAAAAACAGTATGTTTTTTTTTGTAGTTTTTGAGCTGCTGAATCTGATTCTGACCTTTAAAAATTTTTTATTTATTAAGAAAAGTATTAAAATCAGATAAAAAGCTGTAAATATGTAGCATTGTAAATTACTATTGTTGAACATAAGTCAATGCTTATTTTCTTGTTAATAAAACACGATAATGCTCTCACTTTTAACAGATACTACTATAGCTACTATACTGACTATATACTTGACTCTACAGATTTTGAATATCACATTGCAAAGGAAACAGTAAACATCGATTATCGATGCACAATACATTGACTTAAAGAAGTAAATCTGCTCAAAACACAGATACATTGTTGACATTCAAAATCTACAAAATATCGTACGTTTGTAAACTTAATAAAAATGCCTTAAGAATATCTCCTATAATGATACATTCTTGTGAATACAAGATCGGTCGCCGGTTGTTAGATGTTATCACTATCTTAGATATTATCATGATAATTTGATAGTTTGCTCCATTTTTATCTAAGATTCATTTAAATGCTCAACATATATCAGAAATCTTTCAAAATAATGTTGCTGATAGTGAGAGTAATTCTGAGCAAGAGCAATTGTTCCATTTATTTTTTAATTTTTTATGTTTTTTCTAGCTTTTTCTATCTTACATATATATTTTTCTGTGTATAATATACACATTTCTGTTCATTAAAAATATTTTATTACAATAGTATATAGTATTTTATTACTGAAAACTATAGAGATTCACAGAAAAAATATTTTTAAATATCAACATCAAGATAAGAACATCAAGACCAAATAAGGCTTTCTTCATTTATTAAATTTGTGTTGTTTCTATATCAGTTAATCTTCACTTAATATTGTTCATTCAACTATAATCTTATATGTTTATTAACATATCATAATATGTTCATCATAGCTTTTTATAATAGCTTATTCTTATATGTATAACAACTTCATATCAATGATTTTAATATATTTCAGCAAATTAAAAATTTTTTAAAGTCAGAATCAGATTTAGTTGCACAAAAACAATAAAAAACATACCGATTTTACTTGTCGCTCCGAAGATCAAAATCGGTCCATTTTATCAATTCTTCTTTCTTTTGTTTGTCAGTACAATACAATCCTCATACAATAGTTTTTTTGCGTTCTGCAATCGAAAGATTGAGTTTTTAGTTTTTTCTTTTTCATAGTGCATATATTTTCTCTCATAAAAAAAATCTTCATAAATCAATTCTTATTCTGAAAAATTGTAACGGCAATATAATGGTATTTGATGAAATAATATAAAATACCTTTTCGTCCAAAGCTTTGTGGTGCTCGAAAAGACTTTTCAAAGCTTTAAGGACTTCTACCTCAGATGATACACCAGATTGCGCAGCAGCTTGACGTTTCACAACTGTCATCCTGAGCGATCGTTCATGTCGCGATACTAAACATTCTAGATGTTCCAATAAGAGCTGCAAGTATCAATAATATCATATTTAATAATAATAATAGCATATTTATATTAAACACAAAACCAATTAATTTTTTATTATTAACTCTTCACAAATTTTTGTTTATTTTTAAAATTACTTATATTCTTATTATGTTTCAAATGTAGATATTTACTTATTAAAGAAAAATCATTAAAAAGCCTAAAAAGTTCTAGAAAGTCAAGTCATAAAGAATTTTAGAATGTTAGAAAGATTCAACTACGCACACGTGTGTTATTTCGTTCCGCTTTTAATTCGGAAATTTCCTCTTCTCTTTCCAGGATATTCTCTCGCGCCGCAGCCAGTTCTTTTGTCAGTTGTGAAAATTCCTGTAATAAAATAATACACATTAATATTAAAGAATTTTAAATAACTAATATTTTTAAAACAATATTTTAAAACATTTTAATATGAAAATCGGCATAGTAACTAATTCGTTTAATATATTTTATTCTTGTAGTTTTGTTTTCAATAATTTTTAAACTTATTTTGTAAGCAACAAATTCCAAAGTATTTTGTGAGTATTTGATTTAAGAAATAGTTTAGTATTAAATTTATAAACCAAGGTTGGATAATGCCTAGTTAAAAAGATAAAAGTTAAGTTAAAAAGTTAAATAATTTTAACTTAACTTACAATTAGTTACATTTTAGTCTCGAAACACAATAGATGTTGTAAGCCTTAAGAAATTGACCAATCGCAGTCGAATGTGAAGAGAATAATCGATTGATTGGTCAGTTTCTTACGGCTAAGGCTTACTACATCTATTGTGTTTCGG